ACAAGAGCTGTCAAAGGAGCCAGTCACGCTCGACTAATTAAATACTGGTCGCAGTAAAGGAACACAAAACTATGAAAAAAATCAATAATGATATATAATAAATATATTTCAGTATTTAGAAAGCGCTCAAATGTTCAATATTTTTGCACCACATAATAATCATGTGACCATGACAGTAAAAGTAACAGACATCCCTGAAGCAATAAAGAAGTAACTGAAAAAATCAAGAAAAAGTCTTACGGTAAGAAAATTCGGAAAATATTGAGTCATATAAATATTGTATGGGAGTTGATATGAAACTTAAATTTAAAGAAAATCCTTTGAAAATTAATAAGTTAGAGCAAAAAAACAAAACAATTTAAACAAATTAAGCAATTCTGGAAATATTCATGCTAGAATAATGAATCTTGTCACACGATTTGGGTAATAAAAAGTAAGAAATACATTGTATTTGAAGTTTGAAGTAATACCAAAAGAAATGAAGAAGTTATGGTTAAAATAAAATTATTTACCGGTAACAGAAATTCTAAGTTCAAGATAGGATAATTCTGAAAGAATGTGTGCTAGAGTTATGAATCTTATCACACATCATGTGGTTGATGATAAGGAACATACGCATAAAGTTTGAAGTAGACACTTAAAGAAATATTTAAGTTTAAAGTTGATCCTTTAAAAAGAAAGAAATAAGAATAAAAAAATATTTTAAGGAAAATTCCAGGGGAGATATATAATTCTGCTTCTACTAGAGTTACGAACCATGTCACATAAGACATCGTTGATAATGAGGAACATATATTTGAATTTGAAATCTTGAGAAATAAAAACTTTAATCTGAAAACTGTACGCAGAATCCTACGTCGGGGTGAGTATGACAGCTCTCCATATACTTCGTATAGTCAAACTTAAAATGAACTGACATCAATGGAGGACAAAAATATCCATAAGGTTACCACGAACTGATAGGGTCAATTCAGAAGTCTGTGAAGAAACCAAGCACTTGAAATTTGAAGGTGTACTTATACCCAAAATCACTAATTACAATATTCTTAGACCGCACTATCCAATGAGGACTAAAGAAGACGTGACAAACCAATAAACAGGTGCTAAATACTGCAGAGTATTGGACGCAATGAAAGGATATTTGTCAATAAATGGGCAGACGCATCCTCATACTTGACGGTACCGATATTTGCAGCTTCTGAAAGGAATAGAGTTCCCAGGAAAAACAGTATTTTGTCAAAGAATTGACGATTATTTCGAGAACGTGAAAGGTGTGATGTTAATAGTAGACAATTTTCTGGTGTACAGATGAATTTTCGAAGAGCCTGACGCTACCGCCACTCACGAAATATTAATTTTAATACCGCTCGATGAAATCCTCTTTAGAAAGAAACCCATTAAACCTTAAGTATCTTCTAAATACTACAATAACAAACGAACAAAAGAACACATAGTGACATCTCTTAAATGCATTGTCTCCATGTAAAAGCACTGCTTTCAAATATTAACAAGAGAACCATAAAGACCCTGGATGGGTCAACTAAGATACATTCCTTGAAATGATTACATTTTTTGTTTTTCAATTTTTATATGTGATGAAATCACATTGGATTGTCATATTTTTACAAAAGCTGGAAAAATATTTGTAAATGTCTGCTAAGAAATTCTTAATGACAAATATCTACGCTCTTGGCAATGTAACTACACACAAAATTACTTAATTAAATGTGATTTTCTCTGTTAGTCTATATAAAGAAAGTTACTCCAGGATTATGCCATTTTTAGCCCCATGGACATGACTTATATGACCTTTGTAGTGAACCGCAAGGTGATGCTTCATGCAAAAGATCTAAGCTCTGGGAATTGTACTTTCAGAGAAGAATGATGTTAAGACATTTTACTATACAAGTGTAAGTGACACCCAGGGCAGGCCATTTTTGACCCAAGGGGCATGACTTACAATACTTTTAAAGAAATCGACCCGGCAATGCTACATACCAAATATCTAAGCTCTTGGCACTTAAGTTTCACAAAAATTAGACTTAAATGTAATTTCTTGTCAGTCTTTATACACTTTATGACCCCTGGGGAAGAGTCAAACCTTATCCCAGGGGAATGATTTATACAATTTTTGCAGAGGACTACAAAGTGATGCTACATGCAAACTATCAAAGCTCTAGGCATTATAGTTTCATTTAAGATACTTCTATTACTCAAGTCTATATAAATTAAGTGTCCACAGTGCGGGACCAATTTTGACAACAAGAGCATCGCGTAGGTGGGGCAATAAATGTCCAAATGCAAATTCGTTTTAAGTAATCAAACTTTAAGGACATCTAAAAATAATTTTAAAACTAGAGAGACCCTTTACACTTGTCTCTCCGGAACATGTAATACTTTATAATTTCTTTTATTATTATTATTATCATTATTATATAAGCCTATGTAAACTATGTACAGACTCAATCGAACCAAGTTTGCAATTCTTATATGTAATTTTTTTGTGATTAATGCTTCAGAGGGATCACTTTCTTTCCAGATTTTAGTAACCTATAGGGTAGGGCCATTCTTTACTCAAGGTGCATAATTTTTGACATCTATAGAAGGCTACTCTAAGGCCACAGGATCTCTCGTCCTGAACATTTTGCTGCCAAGAACTCTGCATTCAGTGATTTGCAGGAGAAGTTTGGTTTTATTTGATCTTCAGTGGAAAAGGTAATTTTACTTAACTAATTTGAAATTGCACAATTCTCTTACTGGAGTAAAAAGGGAAGATCAGTCTGTTCTAAATGTGTTGTCTAGATGTGGTAGGTACGTTGAGACTGTGATAAAATTACTTAGCCAGGTGAAAAAGACAAACAATTGGATTTAGATCCTATCGCAACAGTGCTAGCTGCTAATATTGAATATTTACAGGACAAATATTCAGCCATACTTGTTAAAGGTAGATATGATTCCAACAGAGCCAACTTACTTTGCGTTAAGTGTAATATTAACAAAGTACGTATGGCAGCAGAGTTATCAAGAATACACACCAGATAGTGATCAGTTGGGCCCCAGTTCGCAAGGGGGTTTGCTAGGGGAGGTTATTCTTTTAGTTACAGTGGTGCTAGTGGTGGTTTTCCACAAAGTGGATATCATGGACGTTTAGATGTTTTTGGAGGTTTTATACGTCATTTTCCTTCAAATATTGGTAGGGGTCTTGGAGCACCACAACAGTCGCAGGATTCAGTTGACAAACAGTAACATTATTATAGTTTAATTATGACCCTTCGTATTGGAAGACTATCGCAGCTAATGAACACTGGTATTAAATTGGTTGGAATACCGTGTAAAATTTCCTTTTAGTTGTGATATTGAAAGTTCAAAATTTGTGGATATGTCATTTTCAGACAAAGAAGAATGTTTTCAGGACAAGTAATTGAACAACTTGTTACTGCAAGGGTATAATGAATTTTGCCTATAAACTGTGTTCCAAAGAAAAGTGGGAATTTCCGTAATGTAACTGACCTACATTTTTTTGAATTCAAATTGCGTTGCGCCTAAGTTTTGTCATGACCATATCAACACTGTTATTTCTGTTGTTCATACAAGAGATTATATGATATCAGCGGACATTAAAAACAGATTTTTTCATATTCCTGTTCATATTAAACATGAAGAGTTCTTAGCTTTTCAGTACAAAAACATTTATTACAATTGGATCGTTCTTCCATTCGGACATTTGTTGTAGTCCTGTCTATTTTTACAAAGTTATTAGAGAAGTTATCATGTATTTACGTTCTTTAGGTTTTCACGTTGTAGCATAATTATGTGGATGACTTTATCGTGTTTGGATCATTGAAAAACAATGAACATTACAAAAACATTTTCATATCAGTATTTAAAGATTTAGGCTTGACAATACACTATGAAAAGTCTTCACTAACACCTGAACTTATGAAATTATTCATCAGATACATCATTGACAATACTGGAGATTAAACTTTAATTAGTATTAAGCTGGAGAGTATCAGAATTCTACAGAAATACATTGGTAGATGTTTGCGACATGGTTTTTCAAGTGCAAAAGAATTAGCGCGAGCAGCGGGTCAATGTGTTTGGTGAATTACCAAGAAAATTGCTTCTAAGAAATGTTTATATGCTTTTGTAGACATCACTTACACCTGAACTTGTTCAGTTATACATCTGCTACATCATTGACAATATCGGAGATAATACTTTAATTAGCATTAAGCCTGAGAGAATCAGAATTCTTATGAAAGACATTGGTAGATGTTTGTGACATGGTTTTACAAGTACAAAAGAATTAGTGCGAGTAGCAGTTCAATGTGTTTCGTTGACTAAATGTGAATTACTGAGAAAATTGCTTCTAAGAAACGTCTATACCCTTTTGCAGACATGAAAATCACATTGTATATTATTTCATAAAATCAGGTGAGATTTATACGAAATTTGAAAAAACTTGGAGCTCAGGGAGCTTAATATAAGCCGTGTCACGACAAAACCAACATAATGGCTTTGCGACCAGCATGGATCCAGACCAGCCTGCGCATCCGCGCAGTCTGATCAGGATCCATGCTGTTCGCTTACAAACTCTATAACAAGTAAAGAAACTGATAGCGAACAGCATGGATCCTGATCAGACTGCGCGGATGCGCAGGCTGGTCTGGATCCATGCTGGTCGCAAAGCCATTATGTTGGTTTTGTCGTGACACGGCTCAATTATGTTAAAATAAATAATTTGGCATGATCCTATGACACAGTGACCATCCATTATACAATGATCATGCACCAATGACATGGTTGTGCAATTAACTTCTCCAATGTCTATTCAATTGACTTGACATGAAGTTATGACATGGCGGTAATATCAAATTCTAAAATGTCTCTTTTTGTTGCATGCAAGCAATCCAATATTCAAATGTTCTTGCAACATTCAGAAGGAATTGACCTCAAGTCTGCATGGCAGTGCTATCAAACTCTCAAATGCCTGTTTATTTTATTTATTTACTGGACATAAACCAATGGCATGGTGACACCCAAAAGTTTCAAATGTTCTTGCCATATTTAGAATAAATCGACCTTGTGTCTGCATGGACACACTGTCAAATGTCAAGGTCATCATCTGGATCTTCTTCATCAAAATCATCAGCATCATCAGGCTGATAAAATATTTTGCCCTCTCCAAAATTTGTAAAGTTGTCTTCCCTGCAAAAAAAACATATCAATTAGAGGCTCATTAAAGTAACATTATTCTCAATTTCCAACCAAATATAGTTAAATAAAATAATCAATTGCATCACAATAAAAAAGGATTTAAAGAGTTGTCTTCCCTTTAAAATATGGATAATATGTTCACTGTAATTGATTAATAGAGTTGTCTTCTCTTTAAAATATGGAATACATGTTTAATGTAATTGATTAACACAGTTGCCGTCTCTTTGAAATATGAATTACATGTAGATACAGTTGTCCTCTTTTTAAAATATTGACTGAATGTATAATGTAATTGAATTATAGAGTTGTCTTCTCTTTGAATAAGTATTACAAGTATAATGTTATTGAATAATAGTTGTCTGCTCTTTAGAAAATGAATGACATATACAATAAAATTGATTAATAGAGTTGTCTTCTTTTTTAAATATGAAATTACTTGTACATTGAAATTGACTACATGTACATTGAAATTAATTAATGGAGTTGTATGAATTACAATAGTACATTGTAACTGATCTGTTGATGTTCTGTAAAATATAAATGAATGGACACTTAATGACAATCAGTCTGTGCAAGTTTGGTTGAAATAATTGAGCCGCGTCACGACACAACCAACATAATGGGTTTGCGACCAGCATGGATCCAGACCAGCCTGCGCATCAGCGCAGTCTGATCAGGATCCATGCTGTTAGCTATAAGTTTCTTTACTTGTTATAGGGTCTGTAAGCGAACAGCATGGATCCTGATCAGACTGCGCGGATGCGCAGGCTGGTCTGGATCCATGCTGGTCGCAAACCCACTATGTTGGTTTTGTCATGACGCGGCTCAATTATTTCAACCAAACTTGCACAGAGTGATTGTCATTAAGTGTCCATTAATTTATATTTTATTCAAATGTTGAGCTATGTAGTGCGAGTTGTGCATGAAAGTCCAAGTCATTCTACCCATTCACACTCACTTATCCTAGAATCAACAATTTCTATTGGACAATTTGGTTAATTAAAATAATCTAGGAGGATTTTTGTATGAAAGGCTCAGCCATCTTGTACATTGATCTATCTGTGAGCCACAGTTTTCAAGTGGAGAACTTGGTTTATTGACAGTCTCCATGGAAACAAAATGTTGTACCTGTTAGCATCATATGTGTACGGTAACTTGACTTGACTTCTAGCCTCCTTTTCTTTATCTGTCAAGGTCAGATTGAAGGTCAAATTGGCAGTAGGGTCACTCTATAAAATACATTTTTTATGGTACATTCATCATAAATATATTTGAATAATGAAGTTCCAAGTAAGGTAATAAATTAATCAATACAAATCTTTGCAGAGACAGTCTGCAAACAAATAATAATTAACTTTTAATTCAGAAAAATTGTTCATTCATTGATGAAAAATTGAAAATACTTCTCAAAAGAAAAAAAGAATATGTTATTTGATATTGTAAACAATAAATAGCAATTTCTTTCAAAGGGAGGAGTTAAACCCCCTTGAAACATAGAATGAACAATTTTGTGAAATACACAGATGTTGGAAGAAGAATAATTTTGTAAAATAAATAAGGAATTCAAAAGAATGAATAATTATGTTATATAGAGGTAGTCTTTTTGATATGACAGAATGCTTTAAATGGGCTGCGTCACGACAAAACCAACATAGTGCGTTTGCGACCAGAATGGATCCAAACCAGCCTGAGCATCCGCGCAGTCTGATCAGGATCCATGCTGTTCACTATCAGTTTCTCTATTTGTAATAGGGTTGGTAAGGGAACTGCATGGATCCTCATCAGACTGCGCGGATGCGCAGGCTGGTCTGGATCCTTGCTGGTCGCAAACCCATTATGTTGGTTTTGTCATGACGCGGCTCAAATAATAAAGAAAATGTCTCTTGATCACATAAACCACAGCGCAGGAGTGTAATAAAGCCATTTAATAACAAGAACTGTTGGAAGACAGTAACACTCGACTATTCGAAAAAGTTGTCACAAGGGTGTTTCACTGAGTATAATAATGCTTACCTATATGAATACATAAAATTGTCTGGAAAGGTATAAAGGCTTGTTATTAAGATGTTTTATCGAGTAAATCACTGCTTTATTATTATGAATGCATAAAATTGTCCCAAAAACGGCACAAACCCTTCAGTAGTTATGGTGATTATACCCAGTTTACAAGCAAAACCTTTACCAAGAATTTCTAAGCTGAAAAAGGGGCATAATTATGAAAAAAAAAAATCAAAGGTCATGGGACTTGTGCCAATCATGTAAAATAATCACAGAGAACAAGCGTGCGAAGTTTCAATCCATTCCCTTCATGAGTTATGGAGATACCAGCTTACACGCAAAAACTTAACCAAGGATTTCTAACTCGAAAAAGGGGCATTTTTATGCAAAAAGGCAAATCAGAGTTATGGGACTTGTGCCAATCATGTAAGATAATCACAGAGAACAAGTGTGTGAAGTTTCAATCCATTCCCTTCAGTAGTTATGGAGATACCAGCTTACATGCAAAAACTTACCCAAGAATTTTAAAGTCCATAAAGGGGCATAATTATGCAAAAAAGCAAATCAGAGTAATGGGACGTGTGCCAATCATGTTAGATAATCACAGAGAACAAGTGTATGAAGTTTCAATCCATTCCCTTCAGTAGTTATGGAGATACCAGCGTACATGCAAAAACTTAACCGCAGGGAAGCCAACAAATGGGTGACTGCATTAGCTCTATTATTCTGCGAATAGTCGAGCTAAATACTATATCACACTACTGTAATAACACTTTGATGTGACGTCATTTGGGTTATATACATAGCGTAAAAGCGCGCTAATGATAGTGTTACATTAAAAGCGTGCGCATCAATGAATAATGATTCTTTTTAACAGTTTACCGTTCTTATATCAGATGTTCGATAAATAGAATATTAAATTTGTGTAGATTCAATATTAAATTTATTAAACTTGTTGAATAAAACAATATTATGCTCGCTAGAGGTCGGGTAAAATGATTTTTTTCAACCGTTCAATATTAAACCTACACTCATTCAATATGCTCTATGTAAATTACACATTGATACTAAGATACTATTTCAAACCCTAGGTCAAAACACAATAAACAACGGATATTTCCATAGCAAATAAAATGTGCCGCGTCACGACAAAACCAACACCAGCATGGATCCAGACCAGCTTGAGCATCCGCGCAGTCTGATCATGATCCATGCTGTTCGCTGTCAGTTTCTCCTTTTGTTATAGAGTTGATAAGCGAACAGCATGGATCCTGATCAGACTGCGCAGATGCGCAGGCTGGTCTGGATCCATGCCAGTCGCAAACCCATTACATTGGTTTTGTCGTGACGTAGCTCAAATTAAACATACCTGTTTAGTTTCCATAGCAACAGTAGATGTATCAACATTTTTCACTTCTGTGACATCCTGAATACAATACTGCTCATCCAGGTTAAAGTGCTCATCCTGAAACATGCCAAATTGTAAATATTAGAGATAATACAAAAAACTTTAACCAAAATTTTTAAGTTAAAAAGGGGCATAATTCTGTAAATATTGTAGACAGAGTTATCCAACTTGTCAATCTGATGTACATTGTTATTATAAACAAGAGCTGTCGGTAGGACAGCAACGCTCGACTATTCTTAGTGCTTGATAGTAAAAAAAATGCTTGATAGAGTTACCTCCTCCTGTTTACAGGTTGGGGTCATGATGGTGAACAAGTGTGCAAAGTTTCAAAGCCATATGTCAATGGACTTTGAAAATATTTGAACTATTACAAAAACTTTAACGTAAATTCTAAGTCGAAAAAGGGGCATAATTCTGTCAAAATGCTTGATAGAGTTACCTCCTCCTGTTTCCAGGTTGGGGTCATGATGGTGAACAAGTGTGTAAAGTCTCAAAGCCATATGTCAATGGACTTTGAAAATATTTGAACTATTACAAAAACTTTAACGTAAATTCTAAGTCGAAAAAGGGGCATAATTCTGTCAAAATGCTTGATAGAGTTACCTCCTCCTGTTTACAGGTTGGGGTCATGATGGTGAACAAGTGTGCAAAGTTTCAAAGCCATATGTCAATGGACTTTGAAAATATTTGAACTATTACAAAAACTTTAACGTAAATTCTAAGTCGAAAAAGGGGCATAATTCTGTCAGAATGCTTGATAGAGTTACCTCCTCCTGTTTCCAGGTTGGGGTCATGATGGTGAACAAGTGTGTAAAGTTTCAAAGCCATATGTCAATGGACTTTGAAAATATTTGAACTATTACAAAAACTTTAACGTAAATTCTAAGTCGAAAAAGGGGCATAATTCTGTCAAAATGCTTAAAAGAGTTACCTCCTCCTGTTTACAGGTTGGGGTCATGATGGTGAACAGGTGTGCAAAGTTTCAAAGCCATATGTCAATGGACTTTGAAAATATTTGAACTATTACAAAAACTTTAACGTAAATTCTAAGTCGAAAAAGGGGCATAATTCTGTCAAAATGCTTGATAGAGTTACCTCCTCCTGTCTACAGGTTGGGGTCATGATGGTGAACAAGTGTGCAAAGTTTCAAAGCCATATGTCAATGGACTTTGAAAATATTTGAACTATTACAAAAACTTTAACGTAAATTCTAAGTCGAAAAAGGGGCATAATTCTGTCAAAATGCTTGATAGAGTTACCTCCTCCTGTCTACAGGTTGGGGTCATGATGGTGAACAAGTGTGCAAAGTTTCAAAGCCATATGTCTATGGACTTTGAAAATATTTGAACTATTACAAAAACTTTAACATAAGTGGTTACGCCGACGCCGACGCTCGGGTGACAGCAATAGCTCTACTTATTCTTATCGAATAGTCGAGCTAATAAGTATTGTAAGTTTCAATTGAAAATCTCAAGCAATAAGTGAGATATTTGACTTAAAACTTTAACCAACGTTGACACAGACGTGGACGCCAATGCAACTGCAATAGCTCTCCATATTCTTCAAATAGTCAAGCTAAAAATGTAAAAAATTGCTGATTCGCAAGGAACAACAACATTTTGGGATGAAATGGACAAATAACAATTCAAATACAAAATATAATTCAATTAAAATAAGGTTACTTTTTTTTGGGATCAAGATCAACATTTGGAACAACTGTAAAATGCCCATGTTTAGTAATGTAACAATTAATATATTCTAAAATTTCCTAAATAGGCTATTTGAAGTCCAGCTTTATCAAGAACATATTGAATATTTCATCTTTGAAGGTCAACAATAGAGAGTTTTTGATTTTTTAATTTTCACCCTGATCCTTAAATCTTAGCAAACAAGGGACCTGGTGTAGTATTAAATACATTGACTAACCTTTACAAACAATATGTTATTATTTACTCAATACTTACAATTCTAATAACTTTCCCTGATAGTCTTTTATGCAGTGTATTACAGGCCACATGAAAATGACCTAGTTTTGGTGGTGTGACCTTGACAATGGTGGTTGCTAAGTGATTTAATAAAACTATGCTATGGTCGTCATGGAGATCTCTATGTAGTAAACAGACAACTTGTTCTACTTCAGCTTCTGAAAATATAGATAAAACAATCTGTGTAAGAAATTGCAAAGTTTTACATTGGTTTCTCAAAAATATGAAATAAACACTACACAGAATTTTTTCGATTACTTTAATCACCTAATATTATATGAAAAACACGATAAAGAATTGTAAAACAAGTTGTAAATTTTTTTCATACTCAAGATTAAAATATTAATTTCCACCTTAATACTGATATCACAGATGGAAACTCATTCAAGACATTTTAAATATAGCAATTTTATAACAACTTTTTCTTTTTTCACCGATGCCATGTAATTTGAGCCGTGTCACGACATCACCAACATAGTGCTGTTCGCTATTAGTTTCTCCTCTTGTAATAGACTTGGTAAGCAAACAGCATGGATCCTGATCAGACTGCGCGGATGCGCAGGCTGGTCTGGATCCATGCTGGTCACAAACGCCATATGTTGGTTTTGTCGTGACGCGGCTCATTTATATCACCAAGATGCTCATTACCCTGTATTTTAGCAGACGTCAATCTGGACAGAGTCTGACATGTGTAAGGTGCTTGACGATGTAACATCATTGGACTGAGACTGTCAATCACTATAGCAACATTATTATTGGCATGGTGACCAGATCTGTTGCTAAGATACTTCACAAGGTCAGTATCTACAGAGAGATTTTCAGCACTCTCCCATCCGAGAACATCTGTTGACCCATCGTGAAATACAAGTCTGAAGAAAAATATCCATGACAAAATAACACAAGATAAAATGGAACAATGACTACTTTTCCTCTTCACTACCCCCTACCCTCTCCAGGAAAAGCAGCCAAGTTCTTCAGTTGATTAAAGCATTGAAGACATACTAACACAATTTACAAAGTTTACTATAGTTTATATTTTTTAATCATTAAAACCTTCAAAACCAATCTTGCTCACAGCGTTTCTCTTCCTGTTTTTTTTTTTTTTGGGGGGGGGGGGGGTGGGGGGGGTTAATAGAAAAATATAAAAAAGAGGGCCATCATGGCCCTTAAGTTGCTCACCTGTATATAGGCCAACAGAGCGGGGCCAGTTTAAACCCCAGGGCTTTTATCTGAACAAACTTGGTACACACCCATTATAAGATGTTTCATGCTAAACATCTAAGGTCTAGCTGGTTGGTTTTTTTTAAGTAGATTTTTTAAGTTTTTTCTTTACACATATAGTTAAAAACAATGAATTTTGACCCCAGGGCTTTTATTTGGACAAACTTTGTAGACACTCACTAGAAGATGTTTCATGCTTAATATCTAAACTCTAGCTATTTCGTTTTTTTCAAAGAAGTTTTTTAAGTTTTTGCTATACACATATAAGGAAAATCAATGACCCCCGGGGCGGGGCGAATTTTGACCCCAGGGCTCATATTTGAACAAACTTGGTAAACATCCATTAGAAGATGTTTCATGCTAAATATCATAGCTCTAGCTCTTAAGGTTCTTTAAAAGAAGTTTTTTAAGTTTTTACTACATGCATATAGGGAAAATCAATGACCCCCTGGGGCAGGGCCAATTTTGACCCCAGGGCTTTTATTTGAACAAACTTGGTAGACATTCACTAGAAGATGTTTCATGCCAAATATCTAAGCTCTAGCTCTTTGGGTTTTTTAGAAGAAGATATTTAAAGTTTTTTCTTTTGGTTGCCATGGCAACCAGAGTTCTGCATGGAATTAAACTCTTTGAACATTTTCAAAGGTGACCACCAAAATAACATTCCTGTGAAGTTTGGATGAAATTGGCTTAGTGGTTTATGAGGAGATGTCATTTAAAGTAAAAGTTTACGGGCGCCGGCCGAAAAGCGATCACGAAAGCTCACCCTGTCACATTGTGACAGGTGAGCTAAAAATGGCTAACAATGAACAAGACCTGTCATAGGACAATGTGCTCGATTATTAATACCATGAGCCTGCTAAATGTAAAATTTTCCCGAGTACAAAAGTTTAGGTACAAAAGGGCCATAACTCTGTCAAAATCTATGTCCAAATTATGGGCCTTAAGTACAAAAGTTTAGGTACAAAAGGGCCATAACTCTGTCAAAATCTATGTCCAAATTATGGGCCTTTAATAGTGAACTCCTATTATGCTCTCAAATAAATGTGTGAAGTTTTGATCCATGCTTCAGTAGGTTTAGAAATGCCAACTTACAAGCAAAAACTTTACCACAATGTGACGCCGACACTGACGCCTTGAGTGAGTACAATACATATAGCTCACCAAACTATATGATTATAGTGTAGTAAAGTCATAAAGGAATGTAACACCTTAGCCTGGTTATTAAACGGCACATTTCTCCTTGGAAACAAGATCTTAATTACTTCTTTAGAATCCTTTGATATTGTCGAATGAAAGGTTTTAGAACATGCTAAATGAAGAAAGTGGCGCCAAAATTATTTTAAATTAAATAAGAAAAATGTAAACAAAGAAGTATTTTGACCTCCATACAAAATACTAAATAAGTATAACTGTAATTGTTATATAATAATGCATTTCTGTGGTATAATGGGCCTAGTCATAAAACACTCCATGACAAGGAACAAGTATTATTGTAATCTTTAAACAAGAGCAGTCCGTAAGACAGCGCGCTCGACTTTTTTATTGCTTGCCAATAAAAAAAGTTTTTGCAGTAAAAGGCAATACAAGAATCTCTGTATTTTTAAAGTGAACTAGTTGTTTGATACCCTTGAATATTACAGCAATGTTTATATGACATAATTTATGGTAAAGTGAACAAGTGGATAGGAATGAATTTTTTTAGATTTTTTAAGTTTTTTAGTGCTTGCCTATAATACAAAACATTGACAGTTAAGGGCCATAATTCAAATAAAATCTTTGACAGAATTACCTTCTCCTGGACATGTTTGGGAATCATGATTGTAAACAAGTATTCCAACTTTCAAATTAATATCTCAAACAGTTCAGTCAAAAAGTGGACTGGTACTAAAAACTTAACCAAGATTCTAAGTCGATAAAAGGCCTTAATTTTTAAAACAAATCCTTGACAGAGTTACCTTCTCTTGCGTACAGATGGGGGTAATGATGTGAAATAGCATTAAAAGTTTCAAAGCAATATCTCAAAGGGTTAAGGCAATAAGTGGATTTTACCCATATTCAATGTATTTTCTAAGTCAAAAAGGGGCATAATTCTGTCAAAAACCTTGACAGAGTTATGTCCTCTTGTCTGTTGATGAAAGTCGTGATGGTAAACAAGTATGGTCAGTTTCAAAGCAATACCTCCAATGGTTTTGAAATAAAGTGAGGTGGTACAAAAAACTTAACCAAGCTCAATACACTTTCTAAGTCAAAAAAGGGCCATAATTCTGTCAAAAACCTTGACAGAGTTATGTACTCTTGTCTGTAGATGGAGGTTATGATGGTGAACAAGTATGGTAAGTTTCAAAGCCATACTTGTAATACTTCTGAAATAAAGTGGGGTGGTACGAAAAACTTAACCAAGGTGTGACGCCAACGCCGACGCCGACGCCGGGGCGAGTAGGATAGCTCCCCTTTTCATAGAAAAGTCGAGCTAACAAAAGCAGTCTGATATATCAAAGTTCATATTTGCATCTGAAATAGTGCATGTGTAAAAACATTACTGGTTGCTATTGCTAAGGGTAAACAACAGTTCCAAAAGATGTGAACATATAAGAGAAATCAATGCCCCCTAGGGTGGGGCCAATTTTTACCCCAGAGATACTATTAAAACAAACTTGGAAGACTGTGACCCATTAGAAGATTTGTTATGCTTAATATCTAACCTCTAGCTCTTTGGGTTTTCTAAAAGAAGATTCTTTGAGTTTTTTACTAAATATGTACATGCAGATATAAGGAAAATCAATTACCTCTCAGGGTGCGGCCAAATTTAACCCCAGGGCTTTAATTAGAACAAACTTGGTAGGCACTCACTAGAAGAAGTTTCATGCTTAATATCTAAGCTCTAGCTCCTTGGGTTTTTTAAAAGAATTTTTTTTTAATTTTTAATGTATACATACATGTATTAAGGAAAATCAATGACCCCCCCCCCCCCCAGGGTTGGGCCAATTTTGACCCCAGGGCTTTTATTTGAAAAAAAACTTGGTAGACACACACTAGAAGATGTTTCATGTTTAATATCTAAGCTCTAGCTCTTTGGGTTTTTTAAAAGAAGTTTTTTTAAAGTTTTTACTATGTACATACATAAAATGGGTCAAAGACAGAAAAGGCCGGGTTGCATATGTATACAAAATATCATGAGGCTGTGATGTTACTTAAATTTTCTACCACTGTCTTGACCATTGATGTTGAAAATTTAACTTAGTTGGTAATGAGCATCAGACCTGAAATGGAATCCCACAATATGGGACCACATGTCAATGCTGTGAACCACATATCAAGAGGCTGTGGTAAGTAGTTGCTGAGAAAACTGTTACGAAAATTTCCTACTATCTATTGATCATTAATTATGTCAAAATTTAACTAAGTCGGCATACAGGAAGTGGATGAGCCACAGACCTGAAATCAAATCCCACGATATGAGACAATGTGTTGATGCTGTATACCAGTATAGGACCATGTGATAATGCTGTATACCAAATATCAAGAGGCTGTGATAATTAGTTGCTGAGAAAACTGTTACAAAAATTTCCTACCATTGACCATTAATGTCCAAAATTTAACTAGGTCAACAAACTGGAAGTAGATTAGCAACAGACCTGAAATCGAATCCCACAGTATGGGACCATGCCTTGATGCTGTATACCAAATATCAAAAGGCTGTGATAAGTAGTTGCTGAGAAAACTGTTACGAAAATTTCTTACTATATATTGACCATTAATGTTGATAATTTAACTAAGTTTGCAAACAGGAAGTGGAGGAGAGACAGATCTGAAATCGAATCCCACGGTATGGGACCATATGTTAATGCTGTGTGCTAAATATGAAGAGGCTGTGATAAGTAGTTGCTGAGAAAACTGTTACGAAAATTTCTTACTATTGACCACTAATGTTGAAAATTTAACTAAGTCGGCAAACAGGAAGTGGATGAGCGACAGACCTGAAATCAAATCCCACGGTATGGGACCATATGTTAATGCTGTATGCCAAATATCAAGAGGCTGTGATAAGTAGTTGCTGAGAAAACTGTTACGAAAATTTCCTACCATTGAGCATTAATGTAGAAAATTTAACTAAGTCGGCAAACAGGAAGTGGATGAGCGACAGACCTGAAATCGAATCCCACAGTATGGGACCATGTGTTGATGCTGTATACCAAATATCAAGAGGCTGTGATAAGTAGTTGCTGAGAAAACTGTTACGAAAATTTCCTACCATTGACCATTAATGTCCAAACTTTAACTAGGTCCAAAACAGGAAGTAGATTAGCGACAGACCTAAAATCGAATCCCACAGTATGGGACCATGTGTTGATGCTGTATACCAAATATCAAAAGGCTGTGATAAGTAGTTGCTGAGATAACTGTTACGAAAATTTCCTGCTATTGACCATTAATGTTGAAAATTTAACTAGGTCAGCAAACAGGAAGTAGATGAGCGACAGACCTGAAATCGAATCCCACAGTATGGGACCATGTGTTGATGCTGTATACCAAATATTAAAAGGCTGTGATAAGTAGTTGCTGAGAAAACTGTTACGAAAGTTTTTGCCAGTGCAACCCGGCCAACAAGGAAAATCAATAACACCCTGCCAAATTTGACCCAAGGGCTTTTATAAGAACAAACTTAGTAGACACTTACTAGAAGATGTTTCATGCTTAATTTCTGAGCTTTAGCAGTTTTTTATGAGTTCTGCATGGAATTAAATATTTTGGACAATTTTTAAAGGTGACCACCGAAGGATCATTCCTGTGAAGTTTGCATGAAATTGGCTTACCGGGGCCTGAGGAGATGTTGATTAAAGTAAAATTTTACGGATGAATGCTGGACGAAAAGCAATCACAAAAGCTCACCATGTCACTTTGTGATTTTGTGAAAATAGTATTCTTATCATGAGTGATGAAATTTATTTCAGACAAACAAACTTAGACAAAGAAATAAAAATGTGACCTCTAGACTATTTATAAGGTTTTTCTTTGATTTGATTTCAGTTTTGTTATATTTTTCTGGTCCTCCGGGTTAATTGATGCCAGTACTATGGTTGAGAATTGAGTACCGCTCAAGCCCCTGCTAGGAGGCGTGAGTGATGTTGCACTTATTCATTATCTCTCTTGTACAGACTCAGAGTCTGCAATTTACATGTAATTTTGTTGTGATTAATGCTTCCGAGGGATCATTTTGTTACCAGATTTTTTTGACAAGGTGATCTAGTTTATGACTAGTTCAAGTTTGATGAAGATCCAATCACAACTGTGTCCTTTAGAGGGTAGACTGTTGATGGTTGGAGAATGGATGACAGATCAGCTGACCTATGCTAAATGCTCACTTGAGCTTAAACTGAGGTGTCACAAGCAGTTATCTCCCTTTGACAAATGAATGAAAAAGGTCAAAACGGATAATTTGTCCACACATAACTATGAAAAAATGGGTCAAAGACAGATTAGGTCAGGTTGCATTTGTATACCAAATATCATAAAACTGTGATGCTACTGAGAAATTTGTTACGAAAATTATACCATTCACCAATTATGTTGAAATTTTACTAAGTTGATTAACAGGAAGTGGATGAGCAATAGACCTGAAATAAAATCCCACAGTATGGGACCACGTGTTAACGTGTATACCAATTATCAAGAGGCTGTGATAAGTAGTTGCTGAGAAAACTGATACAATAAGTATTTTCCCCACCCGCATTTTATAAACCGGGTTTGCACCTGTGCAACCCGGCCAAAAATCAAATGAAAGTTGATCATACCTTTGGTAAAACTCTGTGTTTATAAAATCTTTAAGGTAGTCTGGAGATTTTTCAAAACATACCACATGGACTTTCTCAACCCTGTAACATTCAAATATACAGAAAAATAAACAACAACAACAAGAAAATCAAGGTCTCATCAAATACATTACTAATGAAGAGAGAAACTGAAATACATTGAGCCGCGTCACGACAAAATCAACATAGTGCGTTTGAGACCAGCATGGATCCAGACCAGCCTGCGCATCCGCGCAGTCTGATCAGGATCCATGCTGTTCGCTATCAGTTTCTCTACTTGTAATAAAGTTGGCAAACGCACTATGTTGGTTTTGTCTTGATGCGGCTAATGTATATTTGAATACTGTATAATAAATCAATTACTGGACATATAAGGCTTGTTTTTGATGATTATGTTACTTAACCTTTTCCCTTATATAAGCGTGTTTCGACGGCTTTTTGCCCCCCCCCCCCTTTTTTGAGGCCTCAAACAGTGAAAAAATGACCTATTTAGGCCCAAAACACTGTTTTTCATTTTGAGAAATGTTGTTAAAGAAAGTGACCACTTTTTCGGCGCTGTCCCCCATCCAAATATTACATCAGGGTGTTGCCAGAAGGGGGATGTGCCCCCTTCTGTTTGGGGGGTTTAAAAGAAGATTTTTTAAGTTTTTACTATATGCATATAGGGAAAAATCAATGACCCCCTGGGGCGGGGCCAATTTTGACCCCAGGGCTTTTATTTGAACAAACTTTGTAGACACTCATTAGAAGATGTTTCATGCTTAATATCTAAACTCTAGCTATTTGGGTTTTTTTAAAAAACATTTTTAAGTTTTTGCTATATACATACATTTAAAATCAATGACGCCCGGGGCGAGGCCAATTTTGACCCCAGGGCTTTTATTTGAACAAACTTGGTAGACACCAATTAGAACATGTTTCATGTTAAATATCTTAGATCTAGCTCTTTGAGTTCTTTAAAAGAAGATTTTTTTAAGTTTTTACTATATGCATATAGGGAAAAATCAATGACCCCCTGGGGCGGGGCCAATTTTGACCCCAGGGCTTTTATTTGAACAAACTTTGTAGACACTCATTAGAAGATGTTTCATGCTTAATATCTAAACTCTAGCTATTTGTGTTTTTTCAAAGAAGATTTTTAAGTTTTTACTATATGCATATAGGGAAAATCAATGACCCCCTGGGGTGGGGCCAATTTTGACCCCAGGGCTTTTATTTGAACAAACTTGGTAGACACTCATTAGAAGATGTTTCATGCTAAATATCTTAGCTCTAGCTCTTTTGGTTCTTTAAAAGAAGATTTTTTAAGTTTTTACTATATGCATATAGGGAAAATCAAAGACCCCCTGGGGCGAGGCCAATTTTGACCCCAGGGCTTTTATTTGAACAAACTTGGTAGACACTCACTAGAAGATGTTTCATGCTTAATATCTAAACTCTAGCTATTTGGTTTTTTTCAAAGAAGATTTTTTAAGTTTTTACTTATAATATGCATATAGGGAAAATCAATGACCCCCTGGGGCGGGGCCAATTTTGACCCCAGGGCTTTTATTTGAACAAACTTTGTAGACACCAATTAGAACATGTTTCATGCTAAATATCTTAGCTCTAGCTTTTTGAGTTCTTTAAAAGAAGATTTTTTAAGTTTTTACTATATGCATATAGGGAAAATCAATGACCCCCTGGGGCGGGGCCAATTTTGACCCCAGGGCTTTTATTTGAACAAACTTGGTAGACACTCATTAGAAAATATTTCATGCTAAATATCTTAGCTCTAGCTCTTTGGGTTCTTTAAAAGAAGATTTTTTAAGTTTTTACTATATGCATATAGGGAAAATCAAAGACCTCCTGGGGCGGGGCCAATTTTGACCCCAGGGCTTTTATTTGAACAAACTTGGTAGACACTCATTAGAAGATGTTTCATGCCAAATATCTAAGCTCTAGCTCTTGGGTTTTTTTAAGAGAAGATATTTAAAGTTTTTTCTTTCGGTTGCCATGGCAACCAGAGTTCTGCATGGAATTAAATTCTTTGAACAATTTTTAAAGGTGACCACCAAAGGAACATTCCTGTGAAGTTTGGATGAAATTGGCTTAGTGGTTTATGAGGAGATGTCATTTAAAGTAAAAGTTTACGGACGGACGGACGGACGCCGGACGAAAAGCGATCACAAAAGCTCACCCTGTCACTTTGTGACAGGTGAGCTAAACAAGAGCTGTCGGTAGGACAGCAATGCTCGACTATTCTTAGTGCTTGATATAAAAAAAAATGCTTGATATAGTTACCTCCTCCTGTTTACAGGTTGGGGTCATGATGGTGAACAAGTGTGCAAAGTTTCAAAGCCATATGTCAATGGACTTTGAAAATATTTGAACTATTACAAAAACTTTAACGTAAATTCTAAGTCCAAAAAGGGGCATAATTCTGTCAAAATGCTTGATAGAGTTACCTCCTCTTGTCTACAGGTTGGGGTCATGATGGTGAACAAGTGTGCAAAGTTTCAAAGCCATATGTCAATGGAGTTTGAAAATATTTGAACTATTACAAAAACTTTAACGTAAATTCTAAGTCCAAAAAGGGGCATAATTCTGTCAAAATGCTTGATAGAGTTACCGACTCCTGTCTACAGGTTGGGGTCATGATGGTGAACAAGTGTGCAAAGTTTCAAAGCCATATGTCAATGGACTTTGAAAATATTTGAACTATTACAAAAACTTTAACGTAAATTCTAAGTCCAACAAGAGCTGTCGGTAGGACAGCATGCTCGACTATTCTTAGTGCTTGATAGTAAAAAAAATGCCTGATACAGTTACCTCCTCCTGTTTACAGGTTGGGGTTATGATGGTGAACAAGTGTGCAAAGTTTCAAAGCCATATGTCAATGGACTTTGAAAATATTTGAACTATTACAAAAACTTTAACGTAAATTCTAAGTCGAAAAAGGGGCATAATTCTGTCAAAATGCTTGATAGAGTTACCTCCTCCTGTTTACAGGTTGGGGTCATGATGTTGAACAAGCGTGCAAAGTTTCAAAGCCATATGTCAATGGACTTTGAAAATATTTGAACTATTACAAAAACTTTAACGTAAATTCTAAGTCGAAAAAGGGGCATAATTCTGTCAAAATGCTTAATAGAGTTACCTCCTGCTGTCTACAGGTTGGGGTCATGATGTTGAACAAGTGTGCAAAGTTTCAAAGCCATATGTCAATGGACTTTGAAAATATTTGAACTATTACAAAAACTTTAACGTAAATTCTAAGTCGAAAAAGGGGCATAATTCTGTCAAAATGCTTGATAGAGTTACCTCCTCCTGTCTACAGGTTGGGGTCATGATGGTGAACAAGTGTGCAAAGTTTCAAAGCCATATGTCAATGGACTTTGAAAATATTTGAACTATTACAAAAACTTTAACATAAGTGGTTACGCCGACGCCGACGCCGACGCTCGGGTGACTGCAATAGCTCTACTTATTCTTATCGAATAGTCGAGCTAAAAAGGGGCATAATTCTGTCAAAATGCTTGATAGAGTTACCTCCTCCTGTCTACAGGTTGGGGTCATGATGGTGAACAAGTGTGCAAAGTTTCAAAGCCATATGTCAATGGACTTTGAAAATATTTGAACTATTACAAAAACTTTAACATAAGTGGTTACGCCGACGCGGACGCCGACGCTCGGGGTACTACAATAGCTCTACTTATTCTTATCGAATAGTCGAGCTAAAAAGCAAGCAAAAAACGGTCATTTAACATTTTGGCATATCTAAGTGATTACACATGCCCCGGCTGATTACTAATTAATGTTGCGCATATACATGCCAGATATAATGTCAACTTAGTAAGCAAAAATAACTTTTTATATACTAAATATCACTTAATCCCTTGTTAAGAAATACATGCAGATCACGTCAAAGATCTGCTATTAAAAATGTATTTAAGCTATGTATTTATGCTAAGACGCAACTATTTTGCAACATGACTCATTGATTTTGTAACGGGACTCATTGTTTTCAAACATGTGCATCGTCAAACCCATTGTAAGGAATTTCTAGATTGATCAGTGACAAAGTTATAGCCAAAAATAGCAAGAAACAAGCAAAATTTAGACATTTGGTCATTTATGAATGAAATTTAAGGTCTGTCAGTTTAACTTGAAGGTCTATCCTATAAGATTATTATCCTCAAGACAATCCATTCAAAAATAACAAAGGTATAGACACTAAAAGCAAACAAGAGGGCCATGATGGCCCTGAGGTCGCTCACCCGTATATAGCCCCCCCCCCCCCCCTAACGTTGCAGGGCCAATTTTCACCCAAGGGCTTTTATTTGCACAAACTTGGTAGACACCCATAAGAAGATGTTTCATGCTAAACATCTAAGCTCTAGCTCATTGGGCTTTTTAAAAGAAGATTTTTTTTAAAGTTTTTACTATACACATATAGTTAAAAACAATGACACCCCTGGGGCCGGTTTTGACCCCAGGGCTTTTATTTGAACAATCTTTGTAGACACTCACTAAAAGATGTTTCATGCTTAATATCTTAACTCTAGCTATTTGGGTTTTTTTCAAAGAAGATTTTTTAAGTTTTTGCTTTACACATATAAGCAAAAAAATCAATGACCCCCGGGGTGGTGCCAATTTTGACCCCAGGGCTTTTATTTGAACAAACTTGGTAGACACCTATTAGAACAATTTTGATGCTAAATATCTTAGCCATAGCTATTTGAGTTCTTTAAAAGAAGATTTTTTAAGTTTTTACTATATGCATATAGGGAAAATCAATGACCCCAGGGGCAGGGCCAATTTTGACCCCAGGGCTTTTATTTGAACAAACTTGGTAGACACTTATTAGAACATGTTTCATGCTAAATATCTTAGCTCTAACTCTTTGGGTTCTTTAAAAGAAGATTTTTTAAGTTTTTACTATATGCATATAGGGAAAATCAATGACCCCCTGGGGCGGGGCCAATTTTGACCAAAGGGCTTTTATTTGAACAAACTTGGTAGACACCTATTAGAACATGTTTGATGCTCAATATCTTAGCCATAGCTCTTTGAGTTCTTTAAAAGAAGATTTTTTAAGTTTTTACTATATGCATATAGGGAAAATCAATGACCCCCGGAGCGGGGCCAATTTTGACCCCAGGGCTTTTATTTGAACAAACTTGGTAGACACCCATTAGAATATGTTTCATGCTAAATATCTTAGCTCTAGCTCTTTGGGTTCTTTAAAAGAAGATTTTTTTAAGTTTTTACTATATGCATATAGGGAAAATCAATGACCCCCTGGGGCGGGGCCAATTTTGACCCCAGGGCTTTTATTTGAACAAACTTGGTAGACACCAATTAGAACATGTTTCATGCCAAATATCTAAGCTCTAGCTCTTATGGTTTTTTAAAAGAAAATATTTAAAGTTTTTTCTTTCGGTTGCCATGGCAACCAGAGTTCTGCATGGAATTAAATTCTTTGAACAATTTTTAAAGGTGACCACCAAAGGAACATTCCTGTGAAGTTTGGATGAAATTGGCTTAGTGGTTTATGAGGAGATGTCATTTAAAGTAAAAGTTTAAGGACGCCGTACAAACGGACGGATGCCGGACGAAAAGCGATCACAAAAGCTCACCCTGTCACTTTGTGACAGGTGAGCTAAAAAAACCAAAAAACAAGCAAAATTTAGACATTTGAATCTTGAATGTCATTAATGAGTCTAAGTTAGTCTGGTGTAATAAAAGATCTTGTGGCCAAGTATGAAGATAGTACACCTGGAACTTAAAAATTTATGATTAAGGTCTAAGTTAACAGACAGCAATGGCATAGGCAACGTCTAAATGACTGTAACAATACCTCAAAACAAGAGGGCCATCATGGCCCTGAAGTCGCTCACCTGTATATAGGCCCACGTAGCGGGGCCAGTTAAAACCCCAGGGCTTTTATTTGAACAAACTTGGTAGACACCCATTAGAAGATGTTTCATGCTAAACATCTAAGGTCTAGCTGGTCAAGTTTTTTCTTTACACATATAGTTAAAAACAATGACACACCTGGGGCAGGGCCAGTTTGGACCCAAGGGCTTTTATTTGAACAATCTTTGTAGACACTTACCAGAAAATGTGTCATGCTTAATATCTGAACTCTAGTTATTCGGATTTTTCGAAGAAAATTTTTAAGTTTTTGCTATACACATATAAGGAAAATCAATGACCCCCGGAATGGGACCAATTTTGACCCCAGGGCTTTTATTTGAACAAACTTTGTAGACACTCACTAGAAGATGCTTCGTGCTTGATATCTAAACTCTAGCTATTTGGTTTTTTTCAAAGAAGATTTTTTAAGGTTTTGTTATACACATTTAAGGAAAATGAATGACCCCCTGGGCGGGGCCAATTTTGACCCCAGGGCTTTTATTTGAACAAACTTGTTAGACACTTACTAGAAGATGTTTCATGCTTAGTATCTAAACTCTAGCTATTTGGTTTTTTTCAAAGAAGATTTTTTAAGTTTTTGCTTTACACATATAAGGAAAATCAATGACCCCCCTGGGCGGGGCCAATTTTGACCCAAGGGCTCTTATTTGAACAAACTTGGTAGACATCCATTAGAACATGTTTCATGCTAAATATCTTAGCTCTAGCTCTTCGGGTTCTTCAAAAGAAGGTTTTTTAAGTTTTTACTATATGCATATAGGGAAAATCAATGACCCCCTGGGGCGGGGCCAATTTTGACCCCAGGGCTTTTATTTGAACAAACTTGGTAGACACCAATTAGAACATGTTTCATGCTAAATTTCTTAGCTCTAGCTCTTTGGGTTCTTTAAAAGAAGAATTTTTAAGTATTTACTATATGCATATAGGGAAAATCAATGACCCCCTGGGGCGGGGCCAATTTTGACCCCAGGGCTTTTATTTGAACAAACTTTGTAGACACTCACTAGAAGATGTTTCATGCCAAATATCTAAGCTCTAGCTCTTTGGGTTTTTTAGAAGAAGATATTTTAAGTTTTTTCTTTTGGTTGCCATGGCAACCAGAGTATTGCATGGAATTAAATTCTTTGAACAATTTTCAAAGGTGACCACCAAAGGAACATTCCTGTGCAGTTTGGATGAAATTTGCTCAGTGGTTTATAAGGAGATGTCATTTAAAGTAAAAGTTTACGGACGACGGACGGACGACGGACGGATGCCAGACAAATAGCGATTACAAAAGCTCACCCTGTCACTTTGTGACAGGTGAGCTAAAAAGTTGAGCTAAAAAAAAAAAATCATAATTGGCAAATGTATATGGCAAATAAAATGAGAAAAGAATACCTTTGGCACAGGTTATTTATAAGGCTTATCAACAGTGGTCTTCCGCTTTGCTTTACAGAATCTAAAAAACAAAAATCACTCTATTAGCACTAGTAGTGTTTATAGCATCACTTATTGTAATTAATGAGTACTAGATTGATAATTGCATCACTAGCAACCCCAGCTAAAATTTCAACTTTTTTACAATGTTTTTTAAAGATCCTGTAACACATTTTTTTCATGGTTTTATTTCATAAAAATGATGCTCAAATTAACATTTGACAATCTTGTAAGTTCCAATAAGCATTATTTATAAAGATATTACCGAATTTAACATATCATGTAAATAAAGGGAGGTAATTAGAAATTTATTTTCTATAAATTGCAAGTCAAATTTTCCAATAAGAAATGAATGCATATAATTTATTGACTAAATATAATATGCACAAATATTTGCAATACACATTTTACATATTCTTCGATGTTTGAAAATTGTTTTATTTGCATAATTATATATACATATATAATTTTTTGCAAGTGTGGTATACACACAGTAACAATATCAATCACAAAACACACAGGATCTTTAAGTGTATTTTAATAATAGTATTAAAGCAGACTAACTTAGAACATTTTAAGTTTTGGAAATATCTTGAAAAATAAAAAAATTATGAAAGTTTGAAGTTTGTGAAATGTCCTGATTTTCTGGAACATTGTACCAATATATTATATAGGGAAATGTCAGTCTGGTCTGAAATGTCAAGTAGACACTGCTTGTGATGTCATCAGTCAACTTGCCTTTCCATACAATGGTCTAAATGCATGGTCCGAAATGTCCAAATATCTGGTCAGAAATATGTCCAAAGTACTAAATTACTAAATTGTTTGGGCAGGAAATACCTAAACAACCCAAATATAGCGATATTCATTTTTGTCTGTATAAAATATAGATTATGATAAGAAAATGAATTTATATTTATGAAAAATATGACTTGGCTGGCTATAACTTTCATTCATTCCGTTGAAATAGGCAGTTGAGATGTTGTAAGAAAATAAACTTGACATTTGCGGATTTAGGTCCATTGAATGAATGTAGATCTTTTTCCAATTTAAGATTAAGGTATGATTAAATCAATTGTCTACATCAAAATTTTAAGGTATAATTTTGTTGAAATTTCATACAAGTGTCCATTGTATTATTTTTTATAAATTTAATAGCTTTAATGGAGTATATCTATATTTGGGTATATTTCCGTTCAAAACACAATGATAGGAAAATGTATATTTGGGTATGCTTGGTTATATTAGTGAAAGAATATATTGTATTTATTATATAAACAGCATTTTTTTTAGTAAAAAATATTTATTTTTAATATATTTGGGCAATATTTGAGTTAATAAAGCCATTTAATAAAAACGATATAACACTAGTGTAAAAACTCTTTGACGTGATGTCATTTGCGCTAAATACTCGTATAAACATAGTGTTAAAGCTCGCTAAACTTAGCATTACACCATATGCGCGTCATTGAAAAAATACTTTTTTTATATTTATATGTGATAAATAGAACATTATATTCATGTAGATTCAATTCTGGATTTATTGAATAAGACAATATTATGCTCACCATGTTAGTAAATATGTTTTAATAAGTCTTTGTTATTGTCGGTAAATACCTTATTAGCTCATGTTTCTTGTAATATGTAAACCGACTTAAAAAAACAGTTTCTTGTATCTTGCCAGAGGCTCGCATAATAGCGAGCTCTTCGAGCTGGCCCAAATTGCCTGCTCACAAAGCAATCTTTACGGTAATGCCAGTACCTGCTAGTTAGTCAGTAAGTGATGGTTTTGAAAACTTTCGTCCGAAGTACCGAATTGACACAATGTCATCGCAACTTTTCGAATTACAAGATAACAGAAAAAGCCGAAGTATTCTGATTGAAAACGGAAGCGTAGACGGGTGTCCTGCTGGCCACCGGGCCAGTGCTAAATTCGATGACAAACTTTATTTATAACCATAACCGACTATAAATAAAGTTTGTCTTACTGTCTTACTGTCTTACTTATATGGGAACCATAATTGGTCACAGTACAGTACCAGATTAAACAGATGCAGTGTATAAAATACCGAAAGACAGTTTTAAAACAGAAAATGTAAAATAAAAATGAACGATTATTTTATACTATTTTCACAGTAAAAGAAAATCGAGCTCCATTTGAGGGGTTTGCCTTTTTCATATTATGATTTTATTTAACTTGTTCAATTATGAATAACTTTAGTATTAAATCTAAACTCTTTGAATATCCTCAATATATTTGGGCTGTATTTGGGTATTTCGTGCTGCCTGTCCCAAAGTCTGGTCCAAAATGTCCTAGTCCAATATATCAGACATTACAGGCTTGTTATAGTTTATGTCGGTCAAGTCTGACGTTGCTTGCCCAGAAGCAAAAATATCTCAAAGCGACATCATATTTATAGGACTAGAAATGTCCATGGTCCGATTCCGAAATGTCCCATTACTGAAACGAATCAGGGTCAGCTAGGCCGTAAAACGTACTCGGCCCCCGAGTCAGCTTGGCCCTATTTAAACTCGGCACGGGTCAACTCGGCCCACTTTTCAATTAATTAATATATTGGTTTGTTTTGTTACTCTTTATTGTTGGAACCACAAAACTAACATTTGAACTTATTCACAAACATGGAAAATATTTTTTTAAATTATTATTACAGCTTTGGTAATGAAAGAGTTTTCAAATTGACAATGATTTGGGTAATAATAATAATTTTTTTTCATCTGATGCTGCATTAAAGTTTTGGATTAGACCCGTTACGAATCCTAACCAGAATAACATAAGTTGATTTAACCTTATTTTTCACTTGCAAATACCCTTGTCCCAATCAATTCTTGTGCATTTTGCAATAAAACAATTATTTTAACATTGTTCTATACCACTTAAAGTATCAAAATATAAATAGCGTCATTAAAATTACCTATTTAAATGTAAAACATCAATTACGCCGACCAAAGTCGGCCATGACATTTAGGAGCTACGCAAAACCTTGTATGACATCATTCGCGGGAAAAAATATAAGTAGAGTCGTGTACTATATTTAGAACATTCTTTGTTGACATGATTTCAATATTTATAATTCAAGATAATGTTTTTATTTATTTTCTTTAATTTTTTAGTACTTACATATGATTATATTGAATTCAAAAGTCAGTAACTCACCCCATTCAATATCTTGAAAAAAGTAATTTATTAAAAAGTTGGAAGCACATGGGCTTGTAATGGTCAATCTCGTAATCACGTGGTCAAACATTTTGGCAATATGGCGGCCAAGTGCTGAATTTTTTATCTGTCGGAAACTATTAGGTAGTTTACATTCGTAATAAGATTTTTATTTGTCCATCCTTGGCTTATAAACAGATTATATATATATAGTTTTATCAAGGTATGCTTCACTTTACTTCATGGCATGTTTGAAGAATGAATACGAGTGTGTCAGTTTCCTGGCATGATTATTAATATTGGTGGACTTTCCCTACAGGTCTGTCTTCAGCGTTCACGTCATGTCAGAGTATATAAAAATGGGTTCGCTGAAGACCTTAAGCTAATAATAATATAGCAGATATTTCTTTTTTCATTTAAAACATGATATCATGCATGTACTCAGATTTATAAGTTAAATAGGGAGCTCGAAGAGCTGGCCCGAAGTGCGTACTTGCACAGCGAGCTTTACGGTAACGCGAGTATCTGCTAGATAGTGATGGTTTTAAAAACTTTTGTCAGAAGTACTGAACTGACACATCGCAACTTTTCGAATTATAAGATAACGATAAAAGCTGAAGAATTCTGATTGAAAACGGATGTGTGGACTGGTGTCATGGGCACTTTCATAGGAACTATAATAGGACAGGGAACCAGAATAAACGGAAGCAGTGTATAAAATACTGAATGACAGTTTTAAAAAGGAAAATGTAAAATAAAAATGGATTATTTTATACTATTTCACGTTAAAAGTAAATCGAGCTCGCTTTGAGGCTTTGCTTTTATCATATTATGTTTTTTTTTAAAGTGGGCCGAGTTGACGTGTGCCGAGTTGACCCGGGCCGAGTTGGTATAGGGCCGAGTTGACTCTTTATCACTAAAACTTGGGAAACTAGATGTGAGCGAAAGGATCAAAATAAAATACTCAAATTACATACATACCCTGTAAAACAACTAATTTCGACTTTTCTTTTCCGCGCACAATGTCTCCAATCATGTTTTAAATACTATTTGAATTTCACAAAATTTTCGCAAAAATTACCAACATGGAGGCTGACATGTTTCTATCTCGCAGAGAAATTTTATTCTAAATTAAAAACAAAAATTATTATGGATTGAAATTTTGCTAACATGACATAAAAATTATTTTTTGTCTTAAAAAGAAATTATGTATGTACAATTATATAATTTATTTGTATCACTGATATTTAATTATTTATTCGCTTCTTTTGTTTACAAAATGGCCGACTCTTGTCGACCCGTTAGTCGCCATGGAAGATACAACGCTACGGGACCATCTAGTGTGCAGTACACAGGCGATGTATCGTCGTATGGAAACGTAGATTTCACTCCATCTGAAGGTTGCTTACCTTTTCACGTTAATAGATATCTCATTTCGTTAAATTATGTCACAACAACTGCTGAACTTGAACATGCTCAGCTTGATACATGATGCTTATGATGCTTATAACACTTTTAACAGGCTCTTTCAAATAGAATCTACGTATTAGAAATTTTCTGAAAGCAATGACTACAACTTATTGTATAAGACTAACTGACAACTTTAAAAACTGATTCAGACAGCTCTATTATCTAGAATTTTGTAGAATCAAACTAGATCACAACTTTTTATAATTGATTTTTGATTTTGATCCTAGATATGTATACAGTCAACCAACCACAGAGACCGGAAAGACCCAAAACTGGACGTGGACGCCGGCGAATGGAAATTCCACCTCGGCCTGAGTCACGAAGAGGAGGTGAAGGTCATCAGAGGCCAGATCCAGATGAAGAATCCTCAGGAAGACCAATTTCTAGAGTTGGCTTTTCGCCAGATCAGTCATACAGGTTCTTTAATTATTCTAGTAATATGTATACAAGTGTGACATCATTATATTTAATATGAAATTAGGCAAAGCCTATGAATGGGGAAGTTGGTAAAAAATCCTTTCATTTTTCCGTTTTAAAGGTGTCATTCGGTATTATATGTACCCACTTCCGTTTTCACTCGGAACACTTGACAATTATTATTAATCTGAAAAGTTGAGATATGTTACGTTATCGGAATACACCGCCTTTTATTATTGAGTTACATTGTAAATGGCGGCGCCTATCTAGAACTGACACTGACAATTTCATTGATAGGTATAGAACTCTATATATTTTTTAATTGTTTTTTATTTGAATTTTCTTTTAAATATACAGGTGTAGTCTATAGCCGGGCAAGCTGGACTTTGACTTCCCCGTATAATTATCACATACATGTTTGAATTGAATTGCCCAATTATATGTAAATATACCTTGAGAAATTCTTACAGATGTGAAAAATATTTACTGTAAATAATATTTTCTGATAAGCTCTTTTGGTATATTTTGATGCCTGCAGAACAAATTTATTATATAGATGTGTCTGCTTCTTTGTTCGGATTTGAACTGTTTAGAGTAAGACCATTCACTCAGGACGTAAGTTCAGGCTCCTTGGGCAGGTGAAATTTCTGTGTGACTATTGATCTTCAACATTGAGTGTAATGGTCATTTGTCTCCCACCGCTGAGTTAGAGATCATGTGAGATTGGTCACTTACTTAGAAATCAGTATTCACTGATTAGTTATCCAGGAAGGCTTTTTAGATGGACCTTTACAGAGCTCTGACCAAATACATCATGCACAATTTAATGAAGATAAAAGACAATTGTATAAGGCTGATTTTTTTAAGGTCCTGGCAACTGTAAGATAAAGAGAGTCAACTGTAATATTTTAATTGAGAATATTCAGTAACATATTTTATCAAAATCTTATATTTGAATTGTTTGTTTGAAAACCTGATATAAACTATTATCAATAATTATTCTGCTTTACAGATACTCCCATGATGAATTTTCTAGACAAGTTTCCTCTGATAATGAGAAACAGATACTTAACTCCCCTTGTAGCTCTCCGGAGATCCTGTACCAAGACGAGCAATACTTTGCCAACCAAAAAACTCACACAGTCAATCAGATGGAAAGGTATAGCCCGGAAGAACAGGCTCATGTTGATAGACTCATATTAAGTCCAAGCTCACCACAAAATGGCACTGGAAAGAGTCCAAGAAAACATCGAAAAAGTCCGCAAATGTATAGACAGAGCCCACATGGATATAGACAGAGTCCTAAAGGCTATAGAAAAAGTCCACAGGGGTACAGAAATAGTCCTGATGGGACTGAATCTAGTCCCCAGCATGACTCCCATGCAATGAGGCCGTCATCAAGAGAGTATCTTAATGTAAGTCCTCTACACAGAGATGAGGCTCAAATTGGGGAACAAGATTTGCATCATGGTTTCAGGCAACATATGACAGAGGATCCATATGTACATGAAGGGGATTCTTATCAGCAAAGATTTTCAGAGAGCCCCCATTACAGAAATAGCCCTTACAGGGAAAGCCCACAGTATAGAGAAAGTCCACATTATCGTGAAAGCCCATCCTATGCTAGAGAAAGCCCTTACTACAATGCAAGTCCTAGCCATGGTGGCTATGGTGGTTATACAGGTTCGCCAGATACTCGGCCACCACCAGCTCCACGACCAAAATCTTCACGGCCAAAAACTGGTAGAAAGAAAAGTGCGAGAGTAAGACATCAGCCAAGATATGAGGAACAGGAGACCTCGTTACCACAACAGTGTGATCCTTCATCCATACTTAACTCAGGTATGATACTTTAAATATCACATCTTGTAGCCTCTCAAATAGACAAATACTGTGGAATATAGTATACCAAAGAAATTTATTCTTTGAAACTGATTCAAATGATAAATGTGAAAATAAAAGCTTAAATGCCCATTATGCCTCACAAATGCTTTTATCTTTACTTCTCAAAAGCTTTACAATTTTGGTCTACTTTTATAGTATCCAAAAAATTACTCATTGACCAATTACCTGAACCACCTTTTACATCTGTTGCTTTTAAAGTACAGTTAATATATAATAATGAATTAGTAATTTGTATGGAAGACATTTTACTACCTTTGTGACAAATTATTGGACATCTATTGCTACTTTCTTCAGGTAACAAGCATCTAATATTCTCTTAAACCATTACTTAAACATTATAAAATTAATATTTGCCCTTTCTTAATTGTGAAGTAAAAATCTATTTATTTACAAGGCATAATATGCCTTTAAAGTCACATGTTCAAACAGGGTTTGGTTCAGTATAAGTATCCTATAATTTTACATGTATTTAATAATACTCACTGTAAATGAATAACCAAATTACATTAAATTATGACATGATAATATTACATTCAATAATAATAAATCTCAGAAATGATGTCATTTAGTTTAAGAGACATTTCTGTATTTTGTGGGCTTTAAGATATACGTGATTAAAGTAATTTGTATCATACTGTTGTATCATACGGCAGGTCATTCCATTTCATGCTTTTCTTGTCATGCTAAATAGTAAAGGTGGGATAAATATTTCTATAAGTTGGGAAATTTTATATGTTATAAGGAGGTGAAATAAAATAAATTAAATAAAGTAAAATAACTTTATACACTTTAATGCATTTTGATACAGTAAAAGATGTTAAGTTTGTTGATGTAAAAAGTTTCTATGAGAATTATTTGAAATAATTCATATTCTTATAATGTAATAATATTCCTTTATAATTTGCAGGTGATCCCTATGGAAGACCCTCTTCGTCCTTGTCCCCATATAAACCTCTACCAGCAATAGGGGTTGCGACCCCGAGGTCACCAGAGAAACCTGACAAGGAAAGCAAAGGTCAAAGTTCACCAGGAGAATCTGCTTCGAGAAAAGTCGAAAACGTTACAGTAGAAACTAAAAGGTTAATGTTGGAAGAGTCAGCTCAGTTTCACCCAGTGGATGAAAACTGTGACATGTTCTCCGTTGAGGATATTCAAGGTGCTAGTAACGAGAACTTAGGAAATTTTACGGGTCAAGGAATTCCGAGTGTGGACATGCTAACAAACTTTCCACAGCATTTGTCAGATGAGATTTATAAATCTAGTGTGCTAAACTTTGAAAAACAAATGAGTGGTGCAGAAGAAACAAATGAGATAAAGAATTCTGATGAAGACAGGGATCAGGAAAATTTGAATACAAATGAAAATTATATAGACAGTGGATCTGGGGCTGTTAAGCCTTTAGACTTTTTGCATGAAATTCCAGAGGAGCCCAAAGAAGGAGAAGCAAGGCTGTTGTTGGCTATTAAACTACCTGATGGTAAGAGAATACAGAGATATTTTAGTCCCCATGACAAACTTGAAACTGTGATGCATTTTGCGGAAAATACCAGTCTTGTTAATTACGAGAATTACCAGATTTTATGTAATGCCCCGCGTACAACATTTGTTGATCTCAACAAAACAATCATGGAAACTGAACTTAAAGATAGAACTGTTTTATATCTAGAAGAAAGAGATTGAAAAACAATGTGTGACAGTAAATTTTAGGTCAGTCAGTCACTTAGTTCTGAACTTTACGTACATGTATCTTATGTATGTACCATGTACATGATGTAATTGTTGTTCTAGACATATAAACAAACGGTACATTAACAGTTACAAATATAAATTGGTCAGAGGAACACTGTGCTGAAGGCTGAGGGCTTACATAGAGCTTGTTTGTGACTTGCTGCACAATGCGTCATACAGGATTACATATATCTTAAAATTTACATTAGTGATATTTATTAGATTTAAGGGATGCTACATCTACATTTTGATTAAAAGTAAAAGCAAATTTTGTAGTGTAAACTTCATGCATGTGGCACACTTTGTGACTTAAAAGCTTCTCTCACAATGTGTCCCCTTGAATTAAAAGCAATTTTAGAATGCATGCATTAATGAAAGTTGAGGTTTATTTTATTATATATCAAGTAAGTAAATTTTATAACCTAACTGCTTATTACAATTCTATTACAATTTACCAGATCAGAAATTATATTTAATTATTTGACATAAGTTGTTACTTGTTAAGTTGATGGATTGAAGTGATGTTTTCACTGGGCAGTGAAAGTAGTTGGCCAGTAAAAATGATACATAATTATAATCAATTGAGTTATATTCAATTTTTGTTGCTCTGGAGAAAATGATTATTTTTGGCATTAATATTTTGATGAAGTCTAAGACAAATGAAACCACATTTGAGCCGCGTCTCGACAAAACCAACATAATGGGTTTGCGACCAGCATGGATCCAGACCAGCCTGCGCATCAGGGCAGTCTGATCGGGATCCATGCTGTTGGCTATCAGTTGCTCTACTTGTTATAGGGTTGGTAAGCGAACAGCATGGATCCTGATCAGACTGCGTGGATGCACAGGCTGGTCTGGATCCTTGCTGGTCGCAAACCCATTATATTGGTTTTGTCGTGACGCGGCTCATTCATGTTATTAGATACATTTGCCCATTAAATGTTACAGGTGACTTTAGGTGCTTTTACATGTACCAGTTCATGTGTAATGAGTCGTAATGAAACTGTAATACCCTAGCTAATATATGTTGTACACTTGTGACTTTCCCCTTTTATTTTTGATGAATCTTAAATTTCTCTGTTAGTTTTGTTGTCATTGAAGTATAAGAAAAGGAGTATTTTTTTGTATATCAGTCCTTTATCAGCATAAGACAATTTTTATGCCCCCTCTCCACCCCACCAGAAAGGGCAGTTTATATAGTTTTTTTCAAGTGTCCATCCTGAAGTCCCTATGTCCGAACTTTGTCCGCTCAATAAATTTGTCATTTATGAATCAATTTTAGAGTAATTTTGTTTAAATGTACCATGTGCAACATCTAGGTCTGAAGCTTAAAGGTCAAGGTCACACTCTTATTTCAAAGAAAATTTTTGATAAATATTCACTGATACTAGTATCTGATCAACAATTTTGTTGTTTAATTTTGGATGGTTTTAAGAATTATTATGCATAAATGTGTTAGACATAATAACATGCAGAGCGCATGAATTTAGCCCCTTCCTTAAAGGTCAAGGTCACACTTATAGATCAGAAGTCATGATATGAATTTTTTCATTAAAGTGCATTAATGTTTGTGTCTGGTCAACAATTCCGCCATTCCTCAATGGATTTTAAAATAATTTGGCATAAATGTGTAAGACATGATGATGAAGTGTCGCAAATACAGGGGTCAAGTATTTAGTTCAAAGGTCAAGGTCACACTTGTATGACAAACTTGACAATTGTGAATAGATTGGTTTTTTTTGTGCATAGTTTTGTCATTCATGGATATATATATATAAATGAAATATTAATGAATAAATATGCTGCTTACTAAGATGATAATTATGAAATGAGCAAAATTAAGCCATGCAGCTCAAAGGTCAAGTTCTTACTTGAATGTCAAAAGTCATGATATGACAGTGCATTGATAATCATGTCCAGTCCATGTCTTTTTGTCATTCAGCAACAAATTTTTTATTAACTTGGTTTAAAGATATGGTTCTTAAAATAAAACAATTTGTGATGAGTTTGTAGCTCAAAGATCAAGGTCACGCTAGGACTGTTAAGGTTTATTAGTTTCTGTACATTGTCAACCGGTTATATCCAGTCATCAATTCTGTCATCCATGAATAGATTTTGAAATAATTAGTAATACTTTTGTGCCACATTAGGGAAACTTGTCACATTCAAAGGCCAGTTCAACATTTTAAAAGATGATGGTTATACAATGTCAAAATACATGTACTACATTGATGGTTGTGTGTCAAGTTAAATTTTTGTCATTCATTTACAGATTTTTTTTTATATAATTATAGGGCAAACTGATAACATGACAAAATGTTTATTTATGCTTCTATGTTAATGAAACACTCTTTATATAGTAAGCTTTAATGCAAGCCAAGGTTCATCTACTTGGAATAGCTTTCGGTGGAGAGGGGGTGTGAGCATTTGGGCATTTGTCTATTTCCAACAACAGTTCTTGTGGTTTTCTTTTTTTTATAAATTGCTTCATACTTATTGAAGAAACAATGTGTTTGTGTATGAATAATATCTTTATTGTACATTTCTGAGAAATGTTTTAGTTTACATGGAGTGATAACTAAATACAAATTATTTATTCCTATTTAAGATCATCTGTTTTGTTCACACATCATTGTCATAAAATACAATGAACCAACAAATTTTAATTTATTTTGTATTTTTAAATGATTATGGTGAGACTGATATGACTTATATTTCACTGATGGAATACGAAATTTCTTAACATTTACTAGAGTATCTTTCATTATCAGAATTTGCTTCTGAAAAAGCTTTTTTAGGATGGCTTTTTTGGTTAATAGAACTCAATCCTATGATTCTGTGAAATCATATAGTGCTGGTTATTACAACGAAAATTATTGTTTTGTTTGTTATGCCATAGTTGTAATAGTTATATTTTTATTAGTGCTAGATACTTCAAGCCATGACCTTCTTTCACTTTATTAACACATAGGAATAACTTGTAACATAGAGATTTCTGATAAAGTGTTTTACTTTTATGATCAAATGAAGTAATAAGTTGTTTAAGACCAAATGTAGTTATAACATTTACTGTACTGAATGATGTTTGAACATTTTTAAGACCAAATGTAGTTATAACATTTACTGTACTGAATGATGTTTGAACATTTTTAAGTCCAAATGTAGTTTTAACATTAAGACCAAAATAATTAAACATTTCGTTTAAGACAAAATGGAGTTTTAAAGTTATTTAATTTTTAGTTATAACTTTTGTAAGACCAAATATTAGTTTTATATAATTATATCAGTTATAAGACCAAATAAATAAATTTAACTTTTTTATGACCTTTTGTAGTAATAACATTTGTAAGACCAAATGAAGTTATAACATTTTTAAGACCAAATTAATATATTAATCTTACAACCAAACATAGTAATAACATTTTTTAAGAACAAATGATGCTATAACATACTAAAGACCAAATTCAGTTATAACATTTTGAAGATTAAAATTTAGTTAAGTTATAACTTAGAAATATTACTTTAAATTTAATGTTAATGAGAGTTTCTCTGTAACTGATATCTCATTCACAGTGCTAGAATGTCAGGGCATGTATCTGTTAGTGCTAGATAAATTGGACTAACTAGTGATTTAAACAGCTGATTAAAAACCTAAACTTTTTTATTATTTAAATCTCATTGTGAAATCGATAAACATGTTTGCACTATAGTTTTTACACAAATACAATTCTTTTAAGTTTTAACACTGTCATATTTTTTGCGTTACCTATCATGTTACAGCCCTTGTCTAATTCAGTGTTATTCAGCTGAAAGGTTTACACATGAATATCATTTCTTGATCTGAACTTAATTTTTTGTTTTTGTTTTTCTTTCTTTCTCTTTTTATTGTCAATAAAAGTAATATAACCATTTGGGGTTGAGTGGTGAAGGTTGCCAACTTAAAATCACTCACCCCTTGGTCCTGTTAGTTTGAATCCTGTAAGGGACGTTGGATTCACTCGTGTGAGGAAACCCTCCTGCTAGCTTACAGAAGGATAGTAGCTCTACTAAGATTCCTACTTGTGCCTAAAACAATGCATAAATGGCATCTGAAGTGAAGATTGAAAGTCCTCATATGACTTTTTACAATGTCAATGTGACTTAAAATCAAAAAATTAAAAATTCATTTTTTTTTCAAATTCTTATTGTTAAATGATTTCATACTTTAGAAAATTCAAAGCATATTTTGATATAAAATCATGAGAATGGTGGTTTAATACTTTCAAGAATGTTCAGTCATAGGCTAGAAATAGTAAGTCAGTCTTTTAATCATTGTTTAGTATGTTACACCCACAAGATTTCACCATGCTAAAACTTGCCTTTAGATAACCTTTTTATCGTATTATAGAGTTAGGGGTATTAAGTCTATACAGGCTTGTAACTTTGTTGGTTCACTTAAACTGAAGGTTTATGTTGAACGTTTAGTATAAGCTTGATCCTTCATTGCTATTGTTTTCTATGAAAATAATAACCTGAGTTAATCGATTGTTTGTCCGGATTTTAACACATTTTTGGTCATATTTCGACTGATTACTAATTTAACATGATTTCTGAACCAGTTTTGAGCAACAAATGACTTTTTGACTCAATGTCTCGGATCAATTGTGTTAAGTGAAATTTTGTATCGTTTAAGGATTGTACTAGTGATTCCAGGGTTACAAACCTGATCCTGAGACAACATATTTCTATATTGAGGCAAGCCAAATTTCATGGGATGATAGATATTACAAATCTTGTTATGAAGTCTTCTTCATAAGCTGGTTCCGAGACTATTAAACTTGCTCTAATGAACAGAATCAATTCACAAGCAAATTCAATATATTCAAACTTTATAGGACTTCTTTACATGACCCAGTGCATGGATCATTACCAAAATTTCTAGAGGGATCATAGGGTTCAAAGATAGTAAAAATAAGGATACCTTTGTAAAAATAAGGCTACCATACATTTGACTCAATCTAGGGACAAGTTAATCTGAGAGTTTGGAACAAGGCTATCTTGAGGATTTATTTATCTTTAAACTTAGAATATTGTATTGTTAACCAGGTTTTTCCGAAGGAAAAAACTGGTTATTAGATTGAGGTATGTCGGCGGGCGGATGGGCGGACGGGCGGGGCGTAAACAATTTCTTCTGTGCGCAAATCCTCCTACATTTCTCAACAGATTTTTGACCAAACTTTCACAGAACCTTTGTCATCAATTCCTGCCCATATTGTTGGGGTTTTGTGATTGGCGATTAATGTTTGACCTAATTATGGCCCTTTGATTTTTTCTTTTATAGAATATATATTTGTGAACAATTTCTTCTTGCCGCAACATCGTACATTCTTAACGGATTCTTTACCAAACTTTCACGAAGCTTTGTCATCAAGTGCCCTGGGGCATATTGTCAGCGTTTTGTGATTGTTAATATTTGACCCTTATTATGGCCCTTTGTTTTTATTTCCTTATACAGAATATAAGTGAAAATTTCATCTGTGCGCAACTCGTACATTTCTTAACGGATTTTGACCAAACTTGCACAGAAAGCTTTGCTTACCAAGTGCAGCTGGCGGCATATTGTCGGGGTTTTGTGATTAGATAATAATTTGACTAAATTATGGCTGTTTTTTTTCCCTAATACAGAATATTATAGTGAACAATTTCTTTCTGTACGCAACCTCTCCACAATTTCAACGGATTTTTGTTCAAACTTTCACAGAAGCCTTGTCATCAAGTGCCCTGGCCCATATTGTCGGGGTTTTGTGATTGATAATTTTTTACCTTTAAAATTATGGCCCTTTTTTTTTTTCTTTATACAGAATATATAGTGAATTCTTCTTCTGTGTGCAATTCCTCCTACATTATTCATGATTTACATTGCACATAGTGTTACAATTTGTTGGTTGTATTTGTATTTTCAACTACAACATTTTTATCTACAAATGGTGATAACTGAAAACCCTGGTTTCATGGCATTGCATGTTTCTTGTTTAGTTACTGACCATCAGAAAAAAAGGAATTTACTGATATTGTGAGTGAGATAATTCAAACAAAAATGTTTCAAAAAAATTTCTGTACGAACTAGTGTCACTTTTTCTGATGAGTGATGCCGGGCCCTCAGGGCTTTTCTTGTTATAGATTTCCATCTGTGAGTACATATACCTATACTGTAAATTGGATATTTTTGTGAGGTAAACTTTTTTGTGAAATCATCATTACAGATTAATTCTCAAAGTTAAGTATTTGCGAATTTTCTCTTTTAGCTATTTTAAATTTATATAAAAATGTAATACTTAAGATACTTAGCAAAGATTTATTTTCATGCAAAATCTTAAATTTACAAAACTTTACATTTTAGTCCCTCTATTTTGCCAGTATGTTTAAATGTGATGAAGTTATGTTTTAATTGTAAAGCCAGTTCTTCATCACAAATGTATGATATCATTAATGTTATGTCTAAAGTAGTCATTGCATTTATTTTTCATACCATAATGAATGCCATATTTAGTAAGTTTAATGCATATATTACAGAAGTATAACATTTTTTTTAAGGATTTATAAGATCTTGCTTTAATTGTTGCTTCTTTTCTATACTATTTTTAGCTGGTTTTAGTATAGATTTATATATATATTTTAAGAATACTCGTTGTGCAAGCTTTTTGCAAATTCAATTGCTAGTTTGAACTTAAGTTTCATGCTCTTGGTTCTCAGAACATCTAAGAGCCAGATTTTTTGCATATTCATAAGTTCAGCTTTATATTATTTTGGCTAGTGTTTAGCAATTTCATTTTGCTAATTTCATCATATTAATAATGCTGGGTTTTTAAGCATATTCTTTGTGCTAGTTTTAGCATATTCATAATAGTCTTTTTTAGCATACTGAGATCTTGCTAGTTTTTATGATACTCATTTGTTAATTTTGTACATAATTGTATGCCTTAGTTTAAGCATATTCATGGTACTCATTCTATTTTTATGATTTTCATTTTGCCTATTTTAGCATATTCATGTGCTATTTTTCATTTTGCTAGTATAAACATTATGCATGTGCTAGTCTAAGCATCTATTATTCATATCTCTACAGCAAGGTTTAATGAATGAAATAATGCTCCTCCATCCAGAAATTAAATGATATTGTTTTTTTTATTATAAGTTAGCAAAAGCATATGTGATAATATTTATTTGTGTATAATTAAATCTTATTTTTATTATGTATTTAAGGGTAATAGTTCAGTTGTTGTGTGATTTTTCTTAGTTTAGCTTAGTGGTAAAGGATGCTGTGGTCTTCACCATCTAATACTAAACACCACTGTAGGTTCAAATAGCTATAGAGGAAAATATTTTAATGTTAAAAAGCTGTGCAAAAGTTCATTAAATTTTATACATGTATTAAATAGTGTCAAATCATTGTTGAAAACTGTTAAAATAGATATTCTCCACGATAGTAATTAGTTCTTTTAACCCTATCCACCTTGAATTTCTTAGATGAACTTGTCAATCTTTCAATCTAGACAAAACCATTTGTCTTTTTAGGTAAATTTTTTTTAATGTAATAACTGACTGAATAGTGAACAGTGTAGACCATCAATGCTATTTGCTAATGATCTGCACTGTTTGCATGGATATATTCAATTGCCACCAAACCAGGCTGTTATATTGCATGTATGGTGATTACTAGTTAAAGTTGCAACCCCTGCCACCATGAGCTTTAATAATTGAGCCGGGTCATGACAAAACCAACATAGTGGGTTTGCGACCAGCATGGATCCAGATCAGCCTGCGCATCCGCGCAGTCTGATCAGGATCCATGCTGTTCGCTTACAAACCCTATTACATGTAGAGGAACTGATAGTGAACAGCATGGATCCTGATCAGACTGCACGGATGCACAGGCTGGTCTGGATCCATGCTTGTAGCAAACCCATTATGTTTGTTTTGTCATGACGCGGCTCATATATTGACGATTTCCAACTCCCTGCGCTGGCAAACCAATGCAGTGGTTTTATTTTAGAGAGATATATCTAACTTACTGTTTGGGGGCATTTAAGTAGGGTTAAATAATTTAGGAAGAGGGATACAATCAACTTGCTGTTAGTAGTCATGAAGTAGGGTTTTGTTTAAGAGTGTTGGGGAGGTGAAGTTTATTCA